AGTCACACTGCTGACCTTGTGTGGATGCGGATGCATTCCCTGCATCAGGCATTTCTGTCTCAAGTGCATTACCACTACCATTGATAGTAGGTATCCACAGCCCCCTGCCTATGAATTGATACAAGCTCCGGCCCCCTGGGAATCCTTTCCCCTGATCTCCCTCACTGAGCCCGGTGAGTGACAGGTTGACGAGCTCCATGGACTGGAGTGAAAACCATGGATCCCACATAAAATGCTTAAAGGTTAATACTTAGTGATATATTCTTGCATGCATGTAGGTGTTGTGGACTCATAGTTTGTTAATTGATTTTTGTTAACTGATTCTTGTTAATTGATTTTTGATAATTAAGTTTGGTAAGTATTTGTGATTTGTGATTGATTGATTTATTCTTTCAAACATGCAGAACATAACAGAACAAATGACAACAACAACACACACATAATTACACATATCCAACCAATGCTAATCCATAATCAGTTTGCTTACACCTATTACATGTTTGAATGGAGTAGGAAGAAGTCAGACTTATCCAGTCCTACCCCATGACATGATTATATAAAATTTCATGCATCATTGGCTGCAAGCAGTATCTCTACATAGATAAAACAGAGTGTTTCCATAATGCCTTCTCGAATAAATCTTATTCTTGCATACATCTTGTATAACACATACATTTATATTTATATTTGAACTCCTCAATTCTAGTACTATTTTTCATGTCCACACTTAAATTATTCCATAATTTGACCCCACTTATAGAAATACAAAATCTTTTTTTGGTTGTACGTATAGCATGAACTTTTAAATTTAAGTGACCCCTTAAGTTATATCCCCCTTCCCTTTCATCAAATAACTTTTGGATTCCACCAGGTAATAAGTCTTTCCTGGCTTTATACATAAACACAGCAGTCTTATATTCCACTGAATCAAAGAATTTTAACAATTTAGACTGTATGAAAACAACATTTGTGTGATCCCTATACCCCATCTTGTGCACAACTCTTATCGCTCTCTTCTGTAATATGTACAATGGTTGAAGTGAACTCCTGTATGTATTTCCCCAGTTTTCAACGCCATACTCCAAATATGGCAAAATCAATGAACAATACAAAATCCGCAATGCTTTAACGTCCAGCATATATCTAACCCTTGCCAATATCGATATATTTTTAGCTATTTTATGCTGAACATGTCTAATATGAGATTTCCAGGATAATCTGTCGTCAACCATGACACACAGAAATTTGATTTCATATACTCGTTCGATATTAGCACCCTCAATTTTCAATTGAAGTTCATTATGTGGTCTACGGTTCCCAAATACCATATATTTAGTTTTCTCCAAATTCAAAGATAGTAAATTA